TGGGGTGGGATTAAACCCACCAAAGATAYCAGGGAGAAATGAATGGGAGCTGTTTCCGCACTGGGAGCTACCAAAGAGGCTGGGACGATTCGGCTTGAAAAACAGATGCCCGAGGAGGGACATTAAAAAGGATTTTATAGTTTTGCTCCCCAGGGAAAGGGATGTTGTGGTTAGGCTGTGAATATTTCTGTCTTTGTAAAAGAACTGAGCAGTTCCTAGTGCAAGCAGCAATGAGCAAGTTCAAAGTGAATTCAGAAAAGGATAAATTTTTTCTGTCAGTGGACACTTAAACTGTGCAATGCCTTGGCGCAGGAGGTTGTGAATTCTGAAAATTTCCCTGGGTTCAGGAGCAAAATCAAATTGCATTTAATTTAAAAGATTTATGGGAGAATAAGAATCTATCTGAGGTACTTTTTATTATTTCATACAACTTCTAAATAGAAAATTATCCCTCATTTGGGAGGTCTCTGCTCGCTGCAGTCTGCAGTGGTAGCAGTGACCCAAGGCTGATGAGGGTTTTTTCCTCTGCTGTGATTAAATTCAAGCTGCCTGGATGGAAATGAGTTGCAGRCACCATCTTTTGGGTCTATTTCTTTCAGTCAGGCAAAAGATCAGTTCTCAGCTGGGCCAGGGAGATGGATGCAGTGATAATTGGCTCTAATGAGATGGTTGTAACGAGCTCAAGCTGGGCAAGCCATGGGTGAGCACCAAGGCTGGGCTTGTCAGGGGACAATAAATGTCATCCCATGGGATGCTTGGGGGCTCCCTGCTGGCATGAAATTGGAGTGAAAATGAGATTCTGCTGCGGCACTCCGGGCTGTGATGGTGCCCTGGGACAGCTCATCCTGGCYTCACCCAGCTGTGCCTTTGCTGTGCTGTTGTCCCCCTGTGGGCAGGGAGGGGCAGGCAGAGCTCCTGACACAYCCCAGGCACCAAATGGGCATCTCTGCATCTGCACAGGCATTCCAAGGGCCAAATGTGTGTGACTGTCATYCAGGAGAGACCTGGAGTGACCCCATGCACGGGGAAGAATTTGGGGTGAGGGTTTGGTGGGTGGCATTTAGTCCAAGGTTGGACTTGATGTGCTTGGAGGGGTTTTCCAACCTCAATGATTCCGTCAAAGACTGATGTGCTCAAAGGGTTTTTTCCTGAACTGGGAGCTCACCTGGGTTCAGAGAGTGCCTGGCACCATCCTGCTGCCATTCATTTCATCCCTCAGCCAAACCAATCCCATCTCAGGGCTGTGCCAAAGCTCTGGAAATCRTGTTTATTCATGAAGCAAAGTTATTCTCTGCTGCTTCCTAGATAAGCTTTGACCGTGCAYTCGCTGGAAGTGGAGATATGACTCCAATAAATGGCTTTTTATGCYCCAGTCTGCCAGTTCAGCAAACCACTGTGCCTCGTGACAATTGACCTGTTTKCTGTCTGTTAACCTTTTAAAGGGAGGGAAAATGAGGGGCTGAGCTCTGCACYTTTAGCAGGGGCAGGGGGAAAGGTGATTATCCTGCAGCTGGGCTGGGGGCTCCTCACTGTGTCCCTGGTCCTCAGCTACTTCTGAGCCACAACCTCTTGGAAGAGGTTTGCATGTGGGGCATTTGGCTTGCAGAGAGGAGACCTGAGCTGCTGGATACAGGGATCTGAGCTCCAGCTTCTTCAAAAGCATAAAGGATTTCTCCCTGCAGCACTCCAGAAGAAGGTATTTACCTCCAGAGAGCACTTCATGCTCAGCCAGGGAAGAGCAGGGCAAAGCTGAGTGCTTGGAGGTCACAGTTTAAATAATTAAAATGAAAAAAAAAATCTTACTTTTAATATTTATATATTTGTTTTTATAATAACAAGAATTTAAAGACTGAGCCCCAGATACCGAGAGATGAGGTGAGTGCTGCTGCTTTGGAAAAGCCAKGCACTTATTTTTGTGCAGCTTCTCCAAATTCACCTGTGATCCTTCCCAAGGCAGAGCACAGCCCTTAGCAGTGGATATCCCTTGTTCTTTTGGTGACAAGCAGATGAGCAGAGCAGGATTTTGATGGAAATGAGGAGTAGGTGTATTTTTGACTCATTTGCACCTGCTGTGTTGGGTGAGGAATGATAAATAACCTTTGCATCCTTCCTGCAGACACTGAGTGTGAGGTAGGAGACAACATTTACAATTAATTAATGGAGAAGCTTTATCAAATCCTGAACACRATGTGATCAGGCTAAACTTTGCAGTATCCAAGTAATGCCACAGGGAAGAGAGAGATTTCCTTTTTCTAAGGCACACTGCAGCTGTTCCTGCCCTCAAATAGTTTTTTGCCTGTCAACCCCCAAGTCCCAGCAGTTTTCCAGGGTAAAGGCTCTCAGCTTTTTTAACTTGGGAGAAAGAAGAGCATCTTCTGGAAGTTCCTTGGTAAAGKTTGTCTGTGTCCTGGGTCAGATGAAAGAGCACAAAGTTCTGCCCGATGTTCTGATGGGATGATCACAGCACTGGAAATACAAAGCATCTTGCAGGGATCAATCTTCCATCATTCCAATTTTTTACACTCCAGTTATTGATGCAGGTCCTCTTCTAATCACTAACAATTATTCATTTTACTGAACTGTTGATAATTAGCACAAGAACACAGACCTGTTARAATAGACCCAGAGAAGCTGTGGCTGCCCCTGGATCCCTGGCAGTGTCCCAGACCGGGTTGGATGGGGCTTGGAGCAGCCTGGGATAGTGGGAGGTGTCCCTGCCCGTGGCAGGGGGTGGAACTGGTTGAGCTTTAAGGTCCATTCCAACCCAAATAATTCCAAAATTCTATGATTCTGTGACTATTATGCCAGACATAGCTCTGGTTTCCACTCCCTTCTTTAAGTTACCTAACTTGTAGATCCATACCTTCAGAGATATGAATTCCACCTTTAAAACCTGGATTCCTCCAGACAGCTGCAGAAATATTATCAGCATGTCTGGGGCAGCAGTGAGGAAGATTGGTGTTGTAAGAGCTAATGGGCAGGTACAAGATGTGTTTACAGAGGCAATAATTTGTAAAAATGCACTTTATGTGTCTTGCAAGGCCAGTTTCWCTTTCTTTTAATACAAAAAAAAAACCCTTTGTTACAAAAGTGAGCACCTAAAAGCTTTCTTCATGCATCACAGGTGGTGCTGAAAAATGTCAACAGAGAAAAWGATACAGATCACCAAAACCTCTCAGAGTGCATAATTCAGGGCATTTAAAAAGCCATCTGATGCTATCACCTYGTATTTTAGTTTGCATTATAACCCATCCTGAGGTAATGGGTGCACTGAGATTTATTGCAGCTGATGGAGGAAATGATTGCAGAATGTGAAATATCCCATCATGGAATCATTTTCCACGGAATCTTTAATATCCTGATGCTTTTGGACCTGCTGGCTGTGTTTGGTGGCAGATAAGTGTGAGGCTGTGGGAACTGAGCTTGGCACCTGATGTAAGRACCCTGAAACCTGAATTTTAATGAACTCTGCAGGAGAGATGCACAAAGGAGATACCATCAGCTATTCCATTTTTGAAGCTCCAATAAACTCAGCTYAGGACTTCACTTGAAAAGTTCAGTTTGTTCATGAAAGAAGTGGGGGTGAAAAACCTGTAAAATCACTTTGAAAGCGAGCTAAGGGCTCTTTTGCAGCTTCAAAGCATTTCTGTGTGCTCTCTATTGATCTGAGACAGATCTGCCTTGCTCTGCACAGGCTGGGGATGACACAAGCCCCTTCCTCAGCTCAATAGTAAAAGATGATTTAAAGGAGGAGTTTCAGAGCAGGGTAATTACCAACAAGTGCAGTCTGGAAGGTGCTTTCTCATCTCCCTTTGCTGGCACGTGAGGAGTTTTTCCTCAATGTTTTCTCCCTGCCTTGTTCTTCCCATCCCGGTCTCTGTCACGGGGGGGCTGTGACCTCAGCAGCGTGTGTGTCACTTTTGGGGGAGCTCTGCCATCAAAYGGGGTGTGACAGATAACTGAGAGCAGAGGTGCTGGGAGAAGGGAGCTCTGTGACAGCCCACCCACCTCAGCCAGCAGCAGTGAAGTGCCTGCCTGTTGGAAATAAAAAGCAGGAGGGAAAATGTTTCCAGAATTCCGCTAAGAACTCTGAAATGGTAACATATCAATGTAAAAAAGTGTGTGATTTTTTGTTTCTGAAAAAAAATTCAGATCTGCCAGCTCCTTTTTGGCTTCAGTATTGATGTTGCATGATCTCACAGCGCAGCATGCATGGGCTGTTATTAATGCCTTTTGAGAAATAAAAGGGCAAAACCAGAACATTATAACTCTGTAGAAAGGACACGGCCTTTCTTTTCTTCCATGAAAGCTTTTATTCTCCCCAGAAAATCTYCAGAAATGCCTCATTTTGACAAAACTCTGTGCTGGTTATTCCTTCATTCCTGGCTTGGAATTCCCCCACCCTTTCACAGAGAGCATCTCCTGGCCACAGCAGCATCCCTCCTCACCCTCCAGTGGTGTTTCTGTGCCTTCTCCCTTTTTCAGAAGAAAACTGGCTCCTGATGAAGGGGTTTGGCCCCTGACCCTTTGGTTGTCATCTGTGTCCCCTTCCTGCCCTGCAGAGMTGCACAATCACTGCAATGGGAAGAAGGACATGGTGACAGAAGTTTGGAAGAGGAAGARGAGGAAGKGGAACTTGTCTCACAAGTKCAGATYAGGTGTTTTAATGCAACAGGCAGAGATGAGGGCAAGGAAGAGAGATATTTAATTAGGCTTTTCTGCATTTTTAATCTGGGAGAAGGCACTCTTCTTCATGAAACCTGATTTCCCTGGTTCTTGCACTTACCTGCTGCTCTTTCCACACTGATTTCTGGAAAATTAAGGGGTTGAATTCCAGGGGGGGAGCTGAAAGCTGCATGTTTAAAGAAAATACTTTGGTGGTTTTCGTTCCAAAAGGTGCCTGTGTCTGGGTGAGGGGCTCCACAAACCTGTGCAGAGCTGCTGCATCCAGCAGGTCCCACCTGTGAGTGCTTCACCATCTCCTTTTGTTTCTTCCCCAGGCTGCAGGAGGCAGTGGGACAACATCACCTGCTGGCCTGAAGCAGAGGTGGGAGAAGTCGTGGTACGGCCATGCCCCAAGTACTTCAGATTCCTGACCTCCTTCCTGGGTAAGCAAACCCCAAAACAGCTCCACGGTTCGCTCCCAGTGGGGTTTCCAACACACCACGGTGGGAACAACTCAAAAAAGAGGGGGAAACCAGCTTTTAACCCAAGGTGAAGGAGGTTTCCAAGCCACACACGAATTTCCAAACATTGAAACATCGTCCCTGCCCTCGCAGCACCGCTCCTGTGGATCACAGGGGTGCAAAAGCGGCTCCTGGTGAAATCCGATATTACAGATATTGTGCAGTGACAATTGAATCAACCTGTGGAATGGTGGTGTTTGTTTTGCAAAATGAGCAGTTTAGCACGGTCATTAATTAAGTCTCTGGCAGAAAATAAACAAGCTGAAACTGCAGGTAAGAAAGTGTTTGTTTTTTTTTCTGGCTGAAATGACCAATTTGGCCACAGGCCAAGGAATTAACCTGACAAATAACGGGCAGGGGAGGTTAATGGAGGAAGTAGTTTAACTCACTGTTCAGGGTGTTTTGAGAAGCTTTWATTTAAAACTCAGGTCTCAAGGGGCTGTGCAGCAACAGGACTGRTTGTGTCTCCTGGTGCTTTATAGTAATTTTTTACTATTTTTATTATAAAARCCCTGCAGGCCTTCACAGAGAATTAAGCTCTTTCACATGGGAGATGCTGCACTGAGCTGAGCCTCCACTTTTAGGGCCTGGCAGTGCCAACAGGACAGGTTGGGAATGGGGGTAGGGAGACAATGTCATCCCTGTTCAGCAGGCTGGGGMACTGCACTCATTAACCAGCACAGGCTGATTACACCACTTACCCAAGGCCACACCAAGGTTCTTTGTGGGCACAGAAGGGAAATTCTAAATCCCTGGAGTCCTATCCTAGCACTGACTTTGCYGTTTCCAAAATTCCCCAGCAGCTCATCTCTCTCATGTCAACACCCAGGGAAGAGAGGCAGAAGCTGCTGTGATATCACATCCAGCAGGACAAGATCCCTGTGCATTGGATCAGCCATGTGGAATAATCACCTGCTGTTCCTGCTCTGTGCCCTCACCCACTGGGTTTTGTACACCAGCAGAGTTAGTCAAACAGGAAGAAAAACCTCTAAAAACCCTTTCTAACACATCTTCCCACTCRAGCAGAATGATAGGGAAAATATTCTATATTTTATATATATATATATATAAATATATATATACACACACATATATATACACATATATATACATATATGTATATATATTGAGGCCAAGCATTGGAACAAGTTACCCAGGGATTCAGTGTCCCTGGAAGTGTTCAAAAATATATTTTGATAATATTTAAATAATTATAATAATTCAAAAATATGGTTTAGTGGTGGACCTGGTAGTGTTGGGTTAACTATTGGAATTGACCTTCTTAGAGGTCTTTTCCAACCTTAATGACTCTAAGATTCCATTATATATTTTTATATATATATATTTATATACCACACACACACACATATGGTTTTTAAATATATTTAAAAAAAAAAATCCTTGGGACTGTGGTGAACTCAAGCTAAAATAAGTGGGATCCTGGGATACGTTGACATGTAGGGCAGAATAAGTTTATGTGACTCAAAGATCTCGCAACTGTTGCTCTCCGAGATGTCCCGGGACATCCTGGTCTCCAAGCTCCCCTGCAGAAAGGTGCAGATCTCCTGTAGTTTCTGTCTCATTGGATCCATCAGGGACTTCAGAGTATCTCAAAAAGCCTTAGGTTATTTGGTGGCTGGGCCCTTCTAAGGAAAAAGTGACAGGACAAGAGGAAACGGCCTCAAGCTGSACCAGGAGAGGGTCAGGTTGGCATCAGGATAGGTTTTTTTTTTTCATGGAAGGGGTTTTTAAGCTTTGTAAGGCACTGCCCAGGGAGGTTTAGAGTCCCCATCCCTGGAGGTGTCCACGGAATTCCTGGCTATGGCACTCAGAGCTCTGAGCTGGTGACCAGGTGGGGATTGGGCACAGCTTGGACTCGATGGCCTTGGAGGTGTTTCCAATCTCAGTGACTCTGTGATTCTGTCAAGTGAAGGATTTCCATTCTGGGAGAAGCCCAAACGTCCCTCAGACCACTCAGAGCATCATTTGAGCTCTCTGTGCACTCAGCTCCATGTTCCCAGCCAAGAAACAGCCTCAGACAGGACCCACCTCGTGACCCTGTGGCTGCTGTGCCCTTCTGGGAGCCATGAGCTTGGCAGGTGTCACCCAGCCTTGCAGCTGCCAAGGTCAGCAGCTTTTGGGGGATTTCACATGGCTTTGGAGGAGTTTGSTCTGGTTTAACGTGGATTTCTGCATCTGACTGTTGTCCAGGGATTGCACTCTCTGGAAAGTTGGCTGGTTTGTGCAGGGGGATAGAAAACAAGTGGGGATGTCTTTAAATTGACAGAGATAGATTTGATATTGGGAAGAAATCCTTCCCTGTGAGGGTGGGAGGGCCCTGGCACAGGGTGCCCAGAGAAGCTGTGGCTGCTCCTGGATCCTGGCAGTGTCTAAGGCCAGGTTGGACAGGGCTTGGAGCASCCTGGGACAGTGGAAGGTGTCCCTGCCCATGGCAGGGGGTTGGAASAAAAAGATCTTTAAGATCCTTTTCAACCCAAACTGTGCCATGGTTTTATGATTCTGTGGTTTGGTCAGTGATTCATTTCAATATAAATTACAGCAATCAGATAAAGAGCACCATGAGAACATCTATTTCTCCTCAGTCTGACAAAGCACAGTGGGAGTTTTTTCATTGGAGAAAGTGAGATCAGGACTCYTAATTTCTGCTGTTTGTAAAGCAAAGGTGTCTGTATGAGTTGGTGTCCAGGACCCCTTTAATGTCCTCAGAAATTTGATCAGTGCTGGCTACAGGAGATCCTGTGGAGGTTCCTGAACAGTTCCAGAGGTGTCATGTGCTGTGGTGATGAATCTTTGGATGTGGACTGGAGCAGAAATGCAGGCACTGGGCTCCAGAACGGCCCCTACAACACAGACACCATTCAGGGAGCGCTCCATTCAGGTTTCTGATCATCAGCACCTGGTACTGTTTGATAAATGCTGGAGGATCTAAAATCCACAAGGATTCTTCAACTGGTGTTCAGATATCTGCRTTCAGGAACCCAATTCCAAACCTGGAATGGCATTTCTATCCACTGATTTTTGAGTTTTCTGTAAGTGAGTGTATCTCTGAGCTGGTTTTACAATCAGAGGTGACAAAAAGCTCCTCAGAGGGACAGTTCAGCTGGTTTTTAGGTTTCCATTCCAGGATGAGTTTAATAACCTCCATAAATCACATATTTCTCTCCATTTGAAACAAAAAAATTGTGGAGGGGCTCTGGCAGAAGGGAATGTCTTCCAGCAGGGGTCAATCCCACCTCAGCAGAGCACAAACAGAACAGCTGATGCCATTCCCAAAGCAGAAGGCTCAGCTTTGATTTTCTCTGAGTCAGACACTTTGTACAACCATTCRCAAATGGGGAAAGCAGAGATGGTGTTAAATAAAGGGACGGGAAGACTGCTTCCTATTTTATAGGATTTGTTGCAAAATTAATGCCATTAAAAGCTCTTCCTTTGTAGCAGTGAGTGTCATTGAACAGCTTTCAAGGAACTCAATCACCTGCTTAATGTTTGTGTCGTCCTCTTTGATCCCTTCACTTTTATCCAGTTCTGAGCCAGAGGAAATCTGTGTTTTTATAGCAGGAAAAGGGGGAAATACCAGAAAACAAAGAGTTAATGTGATTTTCCTGCCTGCGTGGAGAATACACTCTTCAAATGACTAATATCCTATCTTGTGGTTAATAAAGGATAAAATGTCTCGTGGCATTTAAAAACCTTAAAATGCCTAACACGGTCCTGATGTCATTTGACATTAATTTTTTACRGCATTCACAGATCCAGAAAGTTTTCATTATTTCATGACGTTCGTTGGTGCCATGTGAGGGAGATGGATGAAAACATTTCTGTCACCTTTCGTTACTGAAGTGCACTGCTTYCCATCCCTTGGCCAGGGTGTTCCAGCTCTCTGTGGATACGTGGAAGATGACATTTGCAATAGGGATTTATGTCTCACAGTTTCTCCAAGAGTGAATTGTCCACCATGCACAACTTAAACAGARTAAATTAGCACTGACAGTTTTTAAGCTTCAATGGTGAGGTTAATTCACCTGAGGGGATGGGCATAACCAAGCTCTGGAATCCCACTCAGGGAGTTGAGATCTATCTCAGTTTCGGGCTTGCCAAACTCCTTTTTTYCCCTCTGGTGCACTAAATTTATTTCCACTTTCCTATCTCCACCTTCATGAACACTTTTTATTCTGCATTGCTTTTGAAAGTGGAACAAAAATTGAATAAAATGAGGATAGGGATGAGYAGACAGCAGCAGATAAGGAGGAGACATCACCACTACTCTAAAGAACCCCAAAATGAAAACCATACCCATTATTTATTTGCTACAATGCCCATTTAAAAGGAAACGCAGATGAGTGTTTGTTAAGGGGGTCTCTTCACCTGCTCAGGTGTTCTGCTGTCCAAATGTGCCTTCATAGAGAAAAGACAGAATTACCTGGAGAAAAGGAAGCTCAAAGAGGGCACAATCCCTGGAAGTGCTCAAAAACATGTGGATGTGGCACTTGGGGACATGGTTTTTATGGTGGCCTTGGCAGTGCAGGGTTAATGGTTGGACTCAATGATCTTGGAAGTATTTTCCAGCCTAAATTATTTCATGTTTAAATTACCCATGAGTTATTTGCTACTGAGGTGTCACAATGCTTATGTCCAGTTCCTCTGGAGGGCTGGTGCTACACATCCACCTCTACTCAGAAATGTGCATCTTTCTCTTGCAAATGTTTCCTGGAATCCTGGGATTGCAGCATCAAAAAAGATTTAAATAGAAATTTGTCCTAAAGTTTGACAGCTCTGCTTTTAGRGTGAGAAAACAAATAATTTACAAAAGGCGCCTTATTAAGGGGAATATTGTTGTTATTATTAGGAAGGGGGAAATTGTATTTATTAAAGATCAGGATCTTCACACTTAGAAAGGAAGAGGAAAGGAGGATGAAGAAAAATTTACTATTGCCCCAAAAACGGGCTGCAGAAAGTTTCAGGGCACTGGACACATGGCAGTAATAACTGCAGGCGAAGTGATGTGAAAAACAACAAATGAAGGAAATTAAGTCTGTCTTTTGTTTGAAGTGTTGACCCAACACCACAGCTTCTTCTCTGATATGAAGCTGTGAAGTAAAAAAAAAACAAAAAACTATGAAATAACATGAAACAATTGTACTGAAGCTCAAATTGTACTGAAGGAACGATCCTGTGAGATCACGGCTGAGGCAGAGAACACAAGTTGGGAAAATATCCTGTTGTGACTTTCCCCACAAGTTTTTCCCAGACCTAAGCACTTTAGCATCCAGCTCAGTGTAAGCTGTCTGCAGGTTTCAAGTGTTTGCCAGGAACAGTGGGACGGATCAATAATAAAAATGAAAGCTGAGATGTGCCAGTGGGCTCGGCGGTGTCTCAAGGACGGTAAATAATAGAGGTGCTATTGCTTTAAKAGTTTCTGCTTGAAAAAAATCGATTTATGTCCATGGAATATGATGATAGGAGAAGCAGGACAAATTGCTGGGCAGAGCACACKTTCTCCTCTGCCTTAGAAGCTATTATCGAAAAGGGCAAGGAAAGCAAGAGGGGCTCAAAGACCAACACCCCTGAGCCGTGATTGACCTCAGATCCCTTTCTATGAATTCATACTCCCATTAAAAGCCAGTAAAAGGTTGTTTTTTTTTTTTTCCCAAGAAGATCAAAGAGGTAAAACCTCACCTGTAACAAGAACTTTCAAACACTTCTCTGAGCTTGAAGTGTGTGTTTGCAACAGATGAGAGGCAAAAAGAAATTAAGTAAGAGAAAAACCTAAAGAGCGAGACATTGACAACAGTGTTGTGCATTTATTTAGTTAATCCTTTTGGTCAAACACCTCTGATAAAGGAAATGTTCTGTTTTTGTCTTTGCTCCACAAACTCCTCCCTCCCCTTCCGCTGTCATGAATAAATCATGTCCAATGAAAGGAAATTCCTCTCAGTGACAGCAAGGAGGTCTYRYGGAAGRTTCCCTRCCCATGGGAGGGAGGTTGGAACAGGACTTTGAGGTCCCTTCCAGCCCAAATCATTCCRTGATGATGCTGTGAGTCTRAATTCTGACCTGAGTTTTGCTTGTKCAGTCTCYATCCTTGARGGATTCCRAGAATATCCAAAAGGCATCTGCTCATGCTTCCATTAAACCAGTTCTAGGTGACTCCACTTGAGCAGGGGTTTTGGACCAGGTGATCTCCAGAGGTCCCTTCCAACCTCAACCTTTCCGTGACTCTGGGAAAGCGGCAAATTTATGAGGACATTATGAGGACATTATGAGGTCATTGTTGTAAGAAATGAGAGTTTGTTGTGGCTTTTTCAAGTGAAACTTTTTGTTATATATGTTTAAAAAGGGAAAACCCCTCATCTCAATGATTTTAGGAACAGATGCATCAGTTTGACACTGGTTAACATTGATCAAAATTAAATGCAAACCCCACAAATAAACCAGATTATTTTGTGGATTTAACTAATACCATGTGCATGAGGGGACTCGGTTCTCAGCAGGGACTTGCCCCTTCGTTTTCCACAACACAGAGGAGAGCCTGGAGCACAAACCTGCTGGCACTGAAATGCTTTCCATCTCTCAGTGAATTTCCTCCATTCTATATYGCTAATTGTGTGTAACTGAGTAATAAACCCCTGGCCTCTTTTCTCACTAAACCTCCAGGAATACAACTTGAAAAGTTTTAGCTCCACTCCGATAAGAGATGGGAAGTTTGGGAAACCCACTGAACTTTCAAAGGGTGGGGATAATTTCCAAGTGCAGAGAGTTTGTTGTCTCTTCTGATATTGTCCCTTAGATTTTCAATGTATTCTATGGGTGCATCATTCCAGGGAGAACTGGTGTTGCACAAATTAGTGAGAAAAAGCCCTGGAAAAAATGGCAAATAAGTCTGGTGCTTTGAAAAAATTTGCCTTTTCATTGACAAATAATCAGATTTTATTACCAATGTCTATGGAAAAACTGGGAGAATACAAGAATTGGCTGCATTTTTGCTGGGGGTCTGTAGCAGAGCTAGGATTTGACCTTGGAACATAAAAATCTCTGAAATATTTCAGTCCAACCTAACTCTGTAAACCTCAGAGGAAGAACTAAGCTTGTGGGATAGTTTCCCAATTTTTATGCTCGTTTTCAGTGTAGAAAATAGTATTTTAAATAACAGTAATTAGAAATGTTGTTTGGTCTGAGGGGAGGTGTCATCCATCACTTGACCCAAACTGTGCTGTGATAAAATCTTTATTTTCCAGGCTTGTATTTTTTTGTACTCACAGACATCTGGTGAACATGAGAGTTATTAGAAAGGTGTCTTGTATCACACATTGTGTGTGAATTTGCACATCTAAAAGTGACATCAGCAGCAAAGGGTGGTAGAAAAACTTCTCTGGGAAAGGAGTTTCCCTAAAATCAGAGTAACTTTTTAAATACAAATATTTTATAAAATATTTCTAATAATTACTTTTTTAATCCAATGATGCAATGCTGTCATTGTGCTTCACTCTACCTTAACTTCCACATCTGCTAAAGCCTTAAGACAATTTTTGAAAGTATTGAGAGCAATGAAAATTGTAAAATAATMAAACAATTGTGWTGAAGTGCAATGAAAAAGAAGAAAYAGGAGAAAACAAAGCTGAARGAMGCACAACTTAGCTCACWGAGAATAAGAAACAAAGATTTCAAACCACTGTGAAATCTAAATCCATCCCCAAACAGGGAGGAGCTTTGAGCAGGAAATGGGAAGCAATGAAGTTCAGATAATGGKATCCATTGTAATGAAGAAGAAATAACAGAAATTGCATAACACCTCAAAAAAACTGGAAATACTGACCCTTCACGTCCTTGATTTGTTTGCACAAGATCTCTCATGATCCTGATAAGAACCCTGGAGAAAAGAACTGCAAACAGTGACCATGCAGGGAAAGCCTGGGAACGGCGGCCATGGAGCTGCTGCTCCTGGGGCAGCTGTGGAAACGAAMAAAGGCACCTTTGAGAGCCCTCCTGGAGCTCAGATCTGCTGCAAAGACAAGTTCCAGGACGAGTTTTAGTGTCAAAAGCCACCTGTTATGGGTTTCAAGAAGAGACTCAACGCAGGGGATCGTCTGTTCCTGCCTTCAGTGCAAAACAGGCCCATGGCTGGGAAGGTGCTCAGATGACTCAAGAGCCAGGAATTGCTGGAGGTGAAACTGGAATGTTTTCATGACTCACAGCTGCATAACTGATTTGCTGCTGTTTGCAGGAGTTTTCTCACTCTTGTGTGGAAAGAACCCCATTATTGCAAACCTTTGCAGACTCCTTTGAGCATCACTGGTGTCATTTTTTCACCTTAAGGAGCAAGTTTTGGCTGCTGTTTGTCAATTCTGGTTTGTTGACCAGCTTTTCCCAGTTTTGTGTGATGGATGGCACCAGTGGAATGCCACAATGATGGGATGGATCCAYGTGAGGTGGGCAGAGTGGGGACTGTGGTCAGAAAAGCTGCTGGGGGAATTTCCAGTGTGCTCTTGGGTGTATTTCTGCCTTGTTATTCCTTGACAAACCCTTTTCTTGTCCTTTGAGGCCACAAACCTCTTGGAATAAGGTTTTCCTGGTTGCTGGTCTCTCCTCCTTTTGCTGGATTAAGCCAACGTGGGTGTGAGGTCCAGCTGGGACAGGAAGCAGAGATATTTTACAAAGTGAGAAATGCTTTGCACTCACAATTCTGGATGGCGGCTCTGAGTACCAAAGGACCATGCAAGCTTCAGTTTTGACAGCTCTGGCTGAAGGAGTGTGATTTCCTTACATTAATTAAGGCTCTTTTTGGCTGGTCAGAGGCCCCAGGCAYTCAGCAAGCTGCAGAGTCCAGGAAATCTTCTTGCCTGGGGCTGTTCATGTCAAAACAGGCAATACAGGTTGTCACTGTGTGGTTTTGCTCCCTTCACAGCTAAATTTTGAAGTGTTTTGTTCTGAAACAAGAGTGCAGCACATTTCCCAGGATTCACATTTGATCAGAGCTCTGCTGTGTTTGGAGGACAGGATTTAGCTCCCAGACCCYCAACTTTATCTTCCCAGAGTGAAATGATCACTTTATCTACCCCTGTCCTGGCTTCTCACAGGCAGAGTGAAAGACATAAATACCAYAAATACTTTACTGCTCTGTTCAGATAAAAATTTTCCAGGAACAAAGGCACTGTGAAAATAAAACGCTCACACAATGCTGGTGCAGTGCCAACAAGAAAAGGTTTGGGTACAACTGGCACTATGGCACAACTAGAAGAGATGTTTTGTGTGCACTTCTGTATTAAAATGTATTTTTTTTTTGAGGTCTGGACTTCAAAACCCAATGTTTCCCTCCCATTTATAAGTTCTGTGTAATGTGAAAAATTAATAGCAGAGAAAAAGTGAGAATTTTACTCCAAGTGTTACAAGAATTGTGCTCAGTTTGTACCACAAAAGGCAGACGTTGGTTTAACATCAAGGTGAAAGTTTCTTTTTAAATCATGTTTTTCTCTTTTTCTCCAGGGAACGTGACCAGGAATTGTACAAGTCAGGGATGGTCAGATGTGTACCCTGCACCCTACGCTGTGGCTTGTGGATATGATTCCAACAGCACTCCAGTGGAAGAGGTTTGTAAACCTGGCTGGACATTGAAATGTAACAGGAATCAATGTCAGAATCTTCCCATGCCCAATTTTTCCCAGTCCCACTCTGATTCCTCAAGAGGGAAAAATCCTCCTGAGGATCCCTGGAAGCAGAGTTCAAATGTTTGGTTGAGGAAATGATCTTCTCTGTGATGCCACAGACTCACAGAATYGTGGAATGGTTTGGGTTGGAAGGGACCTTAAATTTCATCTCATTCCAACCCCTGCCATGGGCAGGGGCATCTTCCACTATCCCAGTGTCCTCCAAACCTGGTCTTGGACACTTCCAGGGATGGGACATCCAAAATTTTCAGGCTRTCAGGACCACATTGTCTGTGTGATGCCCACACATAACCTCAGATGCTTCATTTTCCATGGCACCCTTTGAAACCATCCCTCCTATTTATATTTATCCTTCAGTAGATGTGGTGATTGCRTCCTTTCTAGGGCAACAGAGGCATCAATAAAGAAAACAGGACAGAACTCCCTCWCCATCAGTGCTGCCCTGCTGGTCTCAACCAGCTAAATATCTAAATACCTGAATATCTAAAATATCCCTACAGACTGCTGTAGGGAACACACATTTTCAYGAAATTTTACTAAATTTTGATTGGAAATCCACAAGTTCTCTGGGTTATTGTTTGCATATAAATTAGCAATCACTGACCTAGGTGTGATTAGCTTTCCAGAGTACTGTCATTACACAAGAAGGAATTTGTTACTGGTTTACTGCATGCTGAGACATGAAGGGTGAAGTCTAAGCATCCAAATGTTAGAAGCAAGATTCACCTCACCAAACTCAAAGTTCAGCATCTAATCTAATCACCTGTAGCAGTCCCATGGACAACAAGAAAAAGCTTATGCAACAAAAGTTATATTACACTGCAATCATATATTGCAGTGTTTATGTTTTAATGAAATAAGTTAATGTGTTTATATTAAACCTCTGCCAATGCTTTTTTGTTGTTGTTGAAGACATACATCAGTGTTAGTAAATGTTGGATGTAGGAATCTCAATAATAAAGAATAATAATTAATAATAGAGAATAATAATTAATAATAAAGAATAATTATTAATAATAAACTAATATTTACTCCCAGTATTTAGAGAGGGCTTGCAAAAAGGCTGGAGAGGGACTTTTCACAAGGGCTTGGAGTGATGGGAATGGTGTTAAGCTGAAGGAGGAATGGTGTTGAAGCTGWAGGAGGGTAGAYTTGGATTAGATATCGGGAAGAAATTCCTCCCTGTGAAGATGGAGAGGCCCTGGCACAGGGTGCCAGAGAAGCTGTGGCTGCCCCTGGATCCCTGGCAGTGCCCAAGRCCAGGTTGGATGGGGTTTGGAGCACCCTGGGATAGTAGAAAATGTCCCTGCCATGGCAGGGGGTGAAATGAGATGATCTTTAAGATCTCTTCCATCCCAACCCATTTTTGGTAATCTGTGTCTTGATGTGGTGAGAGGTCTCTGGGTATGGGCACACATTGCCAAGGCACTCAAAGAGTTAACAGGGGATCTGAGCAGAACTGAGCCACCTTTGAGTGTGAAAGAAAACAGAAAACAGCAAAGGGAGAGGTGCACGAAGAACTTCAGGGCTCTGCTGAAGAGATCCTTAGTCTGCCTTCAAGGTCAGCCACCACCTCACACCCTCGAGTGTCCATCCCTCAGGCTGAGCTGCGAGGCTGCAGAAACCATTGTTCCAGGTCTGCTCTGGGATGACCTCCTTCCAGAGCTCTGGTTTRTTTTCCTGCTGCAGAGGGGATTTGGGAATTCTTGGGACATACTCCGGCCACGCAATGGACTGCAGTGCTGCCAGAGCGCCGCGTTAGCGGGAGAACATGTATTGTGTTCTCTTAATTATTTCTTAATTATTTTCCYTTGATTTCTGCAGTTTTGTCCTGCTATTTTAGTCTAATTTGTGGGAARGGTGGCTGAGGGGGTGGCTACATGCAGTAGCAGCAGTGAAGAAGAATAGATTTTTGTTTTGTGGTTGTTGAATTGGCAGTCAGTTTGGGGAGCAAAAAATAAAGGGAATTGAAAAAAAACCCAGCAGGTTGTGCAGGACACAAGGTCCAGGAATGACTGACAACCTTCCAGGCATAAAACACTTTGGGAACTTTTGATCTCAAGTCAGAAACAACCAGAAGAAATATGAAAAATAAATAAGGGCAGTTTGTAATGTTTTGCTGTGAATTCTGGCAGTCCCTAAGCAGCAGAAGATGCAGGTGCTGAAATGCTGCTCTTGGGATGTCTGCAGGGGTGATGAGCCCTTTCAATCTGCCCTTTAAAGAAGCTGCATTAGCAAAGAGGAGTGGGGCTGTTCTGCTGTTCCCCTGTCAGATGTGCTGCTCTTCTCCCTGGTGTGCTCCCATCCCATTCTCTGTAGGTTCTGTCTGAAGATGCTGAAATAAAGAGACATCTCCAGAGGTCAGTTCAGCCCACATTTTTGTCCAAAGTGATCTCTTTTCTTTACTCTTGAGGGAATCCAAATGGCTTTGGGTAGGGTGATGTGAACCCCAAATACCTTCAGCTACTGGAAGACTGTATATCAGCATTTCTCTTATTTTTCTCTCAAAAATGTAAATGTTCTCATTTTCAACCAAGACACCAARGGACAAATGCTGAGGTTACTGAACAGAAACCAAGGAAAATAAATCTCAGTTAATCTCAGTTTAGCATCTACCTGAAATAATTGCTATTATCACGCTCCTGTGAAATTAAGCAGAAGCTTTCAGAAGTCGGAGAGATGAYGATGAAATTGCCTAATTTCATTCTGTGGTTCAGCCTGGGTCTGCAGTCAGAATCCAGACATCCTGGCATGCATTGCCTTCACTTATCTACATCCCTCTCTTTTCCAATGAGAATATTTTATAATCTGGACCCTGAGTGAAATTGCAATTCCCTTTCTGATCCTGGGTAAAAATCTCTGCTTTGATATCTGTAAAATGGGAACTGATTGTCGTTAGCAAGTGCAGGGAAGAGCAAGCAGTCATTATGTGCTGTTTCCAGAACAGCGATGACCCCACATCCTGCATTAAAGCTGAATACAGAACCTTCCTTCTCYACACCAGCAGGATTAGTCACCATAAAAAATAGGGGAAAACAGCAGGGAATTGCTTGTTGAATAACACCAGGAACTTTCTGTGCACAACTTGCTCCTGGGAATAGCTCTAAAAATCAGAAGGCCTACTTTGCTCTGSTCTCCTAAATAAAGCGTGTGATGAGCTCCTCCTCCCACAGCCCCTGACACGAGCTCCCTTCTSCTGCTGGTCAGGCCTTTCCTGGAACAGGTCTGCCCTGGTGCCATGAAAAATAGAGATAATAGAGACAGGTGAAATCACCTTGAGGGAGGTTGACTGCTTTAACTGGAAAAGTCAGAGCTGCCTTTGGCATCCCAGTAAGGCTGGAAGGAAGATTTTACCTTTGGGGCGCTGGTAGATGAGAAGCTGGACATGGATGGGAATGTGCACTTTCAGGCCAGAAATCCAGTGTATCCTGGGCTGATATGGGCAGGGAAGGGCAGATTCTGTCCCTCTGCCCCACTCAGGTGAGACCYCACCTGCAGAGCTGCCCCCAGCCCTGGGGCCCAGCACGGGAAGGACYTGGAGCTGCTGGAACYCRTCCAGAGGAGGCAGCAGGATGCTCTGAGGGATGGAGCAGCTCTGCTGGGAGGAAAGGCTGGGAGAGCTGGGATTGTTCAGCCTGGAAAAGAGAAGTTTTAGGGTGACCCCATTGTGGCCTTCCAGTACTGGCGGGCAGCTGACAAAAAAAACGAGTCTGGAGTGACGAGACAAGGGAGAATGGCTTCAAACTGAAAGAGARTAGGTTTTGATGGGMTATTGGGAAGAAATTGTTCCCTTTGAGGGTGGKRAGACCCTGGCACAGGGTGCCCAGAGAAGCTGTGGCTGCCCCTGGATCSCTGGAAGTGTCCAGGGCCAGGCTGGACAGGGCTTGGAGCASCCTGGGACAGTGGAAGGTGTCCCTGCCATGGCAGGGGATAGGAATGAGATCTTTAAGGTCTCTTCCAACCCAAACTGTTCCAGAATTCTATGATTCAATATCAGGTAATTTTGGGTGAAATCTGTGAGCCAGTGGGGCAGAAAGGAGCAGCCTCTCCTGTTCCCCAGTGCAGGGCAAGTCCCTCCCTGCAGTTCTGACCACACCAAACAGGGTGGGCTCATCACCACAGCAGCCTYCTGGCTTGATGTGGGCACGACCGGGCAGAGAAATTATCCTTGCTGTGAATTATCCATTCAGAGTGACCCAAAGCTTTCAGTGATGTGGATTCACTGCACGGAGCTGTGAAAACACAGCACTTTAAACACCTCTGATGTCTGTGGTCGAAGATTTGACCAGTGTTATCTTCAAAAACTCTTGTTTTAACACCCCTCCAAGCTGCCCTGTGCAAATGCTGAAGGATTGCTGCTCACCTCAGCCTCATCGCTTCTGCAAAGTACCAAATTCTTGTCAAGGCCTGTGAAAATGGCACATAAAAATGTCAACTCTCCGTGCTGTGGAGTATTGCTTTTCCAAAAAAAGACAGGGTTTAGGTTTTCTGTCTAAACTGCTTTTTGTGGTTTTGGCTGTTTGTAATATTTATAGAAAACAGTGACAAGGAGGGCAGAGGAGGGTCAATCAAGGGGCTGGAAAAACTAAAATTGCCCACAAWCTGAGTTAGATTCTCATAAAAACTTAGATTTAAAAAAAAAAAAAATTAGGATAAGTGTTTAAATAATTTTATATTTTGATTGKTTTTTGTCCTTTCTTTTAAGCTGAAAATCAAAGTATTGATTCAGAGTGTTGCTGGACAGACTTGGAGAGCTTATTTGCCCATTTTTTTAAGACAGGGATTCCCTGTTGAGTTCAAATCCCCATGCCCAGAGACTCCCTCTGAGTGCTGTCAAAGAGAAAAGCCGTGAACCAATTTCCAATATTTCTGAGTTAACATCTATGTGATTCCAGTGAGAATATTTTTTTAAGTTTTTACTTGCCCAAACACAGYGTAAATTCCACAAAACCAAACCGATTTCCCTCAAACTTCCTTAATGAAATGAGGCACCGGTCTCATCACGTCAGACCCAGTGTCAGTGCGCTCTTCAGCTGAACATTAATTAATTATTCCTCTTCCACAAGGTTTTAGGCTGGAACTGCCTCTGCAGATGTCAAATCAGCCTCCTTCCAGCAGGAACCTTTCTCTTGAACGACCCTAACCTGGTTTTGGGGTGACCCARGCTCTGCTGCAACCGGACGCGTTCTCCTCACACCCATCAACGGTTTTGGGGTCACTCTGCTGGATGGGATTTTAAAGGGTGGAGGTGTTTTAAGGGAATGGAGAAGGGTGATCTCCTCGTCCCAGCAAGCAATGGTGCTGTGTTTAGGAACGCACTTTGTGACCTCTTTGAAAGCCCGGTTTTCTTTCCTTCCACCAGCAAACGGCGTTCTATGGAACGGTCAAGACCGGCTACACCATCGGACACACCTTGTCCCTCATTGCCCTCACGGCTGCCATGATCATTCTGTGTCTCTTCAGGTAAGGCCATGAGCCAAAAAATTGCACAGGGAGAAGGGAATGACTCAAAAGTTGTTAATTTACGGGCTGTACAGGCTGTGGGTRTTGCAGGAAGATGCCAAACATTTCTGTCTATCTGCATTGGACAGGGGACGATATCTCCTCCATCTTTCAGTTCCCCTGTGCTTTGGTGTGTGATTCGTGAGCTTGGTGTGACAGTTGTAACCAAATCCAATTATTGAGGTGGATTAATCTCACTAAAGGCAGATTGTTGCATGATGGATCCCTGTTGAGGRCATTACCCCATAAACCTTTTACAGTCCCTACAATCCTGGTCAGAATGCTATGTATGGATACCATGGAAGTTCTACTTAAAGGAGGTGTTCAAAATGATATCCAAAATTATATCAAAAAATATCCAGGATCACAAAATCCCAGAATGATTTGGGTTGGAAAAAACCTTAATGACCATCCCATCCCACCCTCTGCAATGGGCAGGGAGACCTTCCACTGTCCCAGGCTGCTCCAAGCCYCATCCATCCAGGCCTTGGACACTTCCAGGGATGGGACAGCCACAGCCTCTCTGGGCAACATCTTTCCTCCCAAAGTCTTTTCCAGAAACACTTCCTGAATGTGTCTCTATGGCAAGACAAGGCACTCAGAGCCATTTTAACCATGCAGGTGTCCCTGAGTTGTGCATAGGGGTGGCAGATATGATGCAAGGGCTTCAGGAGACCCAGGCTCTCATGGGTTGGTGAGCAGATACTCTGCGGCCCATCACGGGCATTGGAAGCCTGGGTTGCAGCAAATGGATTAATTCTTGCTCTCTATTGTTTGTAATAGATTCAGGCACCTAAATTTGGGTGCCTCCAATGAAGGAGCCGGCATATGGGTAATCTCCTGTTATAAAGTTGTTTATGTGAAGGGAGAACTGCTGCTCTGTGAGATGGAAGAGCCTTTTGGTTCCATCTCCAGTAGGACAGAGCATATTTCCTACGATAGCTCTCACACCAAGGCTGGCCTTATCCTACAGGAACTTTGCACTTCACTTTCCTAATGCTCTCCATAGCTCTTACAATGGAGGAGTCAATCAGACACACACACAAATTACCTCAGCAAGGTTCAAGGTGCCAGCCAGGCTGGTGAAACCATTGAGGATCCCACTCTTCCTTCATGGGAAACAGCCTGACTTGATTTGCCTTTGCCTGCAATTKCAGAGGGCTCAGCTCAGTCCCATTACCATGCAATCATCGGCCAATGCACAGCGACTCATTAAGAGGTGGTAATTGGATTATGTTGCTGAATGAGGCCTGGTGTGGTTCTGGTGTCTGTGCAAAATGCCCAATTCCAAACTATTAAGCCTTTCACTTCAGCTGATGTAAAGTCTCACTTGAAAAAAGCTCCTGCTTGATCAGAATTAATCTTCAAAACATTAGCAGGCAAGGGATAGAAAAACTCTGGTGCTGTTCTCAGTATCATTAACAACCAATAATTTTTAAGTGAAAATATGCTTCATATTGCTCCAGAAAGCCTGTAATGTGTGTTCATTCTGGCAACAGATGCTAAGAATTTATTTGCCTTCTTGAAGAGATGTTTCACTTTGRAAAGAATTATCGCAGCAGAAACATTGTGTAGCAAACAGCCCTTAATCATGAGCGCAGTCTGCTCAGTCAAAAACATTTCTTTTCCAGTGGAGAGCGGTGGGATGGACCTGCTTCTGTCATTCTGTGTTTTGTCCTTTTTTCTGAGAATTGAAAAAGCAACAGCGCTGCTGCAGATACGTGGATTGCCACGTTATGTGGATTTAAAGAGGCTTAAGTGGATTTGTGGTGATGTTCATCAGACCAGAGCCTGTCTCAGGATTTCTAGTGCTTAATTACTCCTYTATGTCCTGGCAGAAGAAACACAAAAAATATAAAAATAATGCCTTTGAGAAGATCTGCTGTTCAGAAATGTTTAATCTCTTCCCAACAGGAAACTTCACTGCACTCGGAATTACATCCACATGCATCTCTTCATGTCCTTCATCATGAGAGCCATCGCGGTGTTCGTGAAGGACGTSATCCTGTTTGAAAGCGGGGAGTCCGAGCACTGCTTTGTGAGCTCAGTAAGTAGCCTCACACTATGAAATTTCCAACATTTTGTCACCCCTCTTAAACAGGACACCAAAAATGGCCTTGCAAATGTGTGTGAGGCRGTACTTGGGGAAGATTTCAAATCCTTTTCTGTTTGAAAGGAAAAAAAAAAACCCAGACATCACTGTTGCAGTTTAATTTATCTGGGGAAGGAACAAGTTGGTTATCAGAGTCCAAAATGTAGATATTTATATTTTATATCTGGTCTCTTCTGAACTTGGACTCAGTGGTCTTAGAGGTGTTTTCCAACCTCAATGATTTTATCAGATCAAACTCACAGCTCTRCAGGACTTTGAGGCTCCTGTCAGTCCTGTGTCCATCTCCCAGCCACACGCCAATTTCTTGGATATTCCTGGCCAAAGGAAACTTGTGTTTAGGGATTGAATAAAWCCTTTTCCTTCAGTGAGGACAGGAGCCAGATGCAAATTCACATAAATAATTCTAGGTGTCTATGGGGTAAGTACCTACACATGAATTACATGTATAGAGTGCAAGCRTATCAGTGGGGCTCCAATTAATCCATTCCCTGGAGTCTGTTCAATCATTTGGGAGAAGACACCTTTATGTGGGTGATTCTCTGGGCTCCAGTAACCAGATCCCTGTAGGACTTCAGGCAGGAAATGTGTGTGCAGACATCATCACCCATTTTTCATCTGAGTCAGTATCCCACGCTTGCTGTCTGCAACTGTGAGATTTCCCTACTGGGATGATAAATAAGAGCAATAAAGGAGTTGTGGTATTTTTTTCCCTTTCAAACTCAGTGTTATCAGCTGGAGCAAATGTTAAGGAGGGAGAAGGGCTGTTTATCTAAAGGCCACATTGACGCAAGAGGACGCTGGTCATGAATAAATTTAGGCAGGAAATTGAAATCACCAAATTGAAGAGATGTGATCAGAAGTTATCAAGGAAAAAAAAAAAAAAAGGAAAACAGGAACCCTCCACAGAAAATTCGTAACATTAGATGAGCTGCTTGCTGATAATAGCAGGGGACTGGGCACAGCACTCCAGCAGATCCCTCTGGACCTGTTTTTTATGTCATACGGGACCAGAAAAAAGATTCTTTTTCCATCCACCCAATTTCTTCCTTGCTTGCTGGCTTTCCTCCATCCCTACCCTGAATTCTGTCCCTGCTSTTAAAATAACCTTTCAGAGCATCTCTCAGCTGATACCCTGAGCAGCCACCTTTCAGCTTTTCTCAAGAACTGTCTGCAGCATGATGCACTCCCTTTGGAATGTCCCTGTGTGCTTTTTCCTCTCTGTGGCTYACTGGGATCTGTATTCTTGGAATGGGATTTTCTTGTGAAGGTCGATGAATGGATAGGAAGATGTGGAAACTGGAATAAATTGCCACAAATAATTGTCAATGGTTATTGGCAGAGGAGCCAAGACAGGACACGGGGTTTGATCCAACCTCTAATCCCTGTGGGAATTTGCACTGGGTCAGGACTGAGGTGCAGTTGCAGAGAGCTGAGTGAGAAGTGTCTGCTTCTCATCAATCCAGAAACACTTCTGGGTGAAAATACAGGAATTTTCCTGCAGAATCCATGGYTCCTGGAAGGCATGGCGCTTTCAGGTAGTCCCATGGCTACAACATCATTTGTGTTTCTTCCCATCAGGAGATTTTTAAATTAATTGCCAGCTCAGGGTGGATGGCTAGATAATGCAAGGGTTGTAAAATTATGTGGGAAAAATTAGTTTCCACCACACCAGGCTGAACATACCCCTTGCAAAATCTACACCAGTCTTGGACCAGCATTTTAGATGATCTTTTATGCCACAGTGGCAAAATACCGACGTGAAACACAGTCAAAATGCCTCTCTTARCATTCATCTGTAAGGAGAAATTGTTATAAACTCCATTGAGCTCCTGTGGGATTGCTTGGCTTGAATTAAGTTAGTGCTTCGAGCTTGAAGGATAAAGCTTGACTTGGGAGACCTGGGCACTGATTCATATATTCAGGGCTTTCTACACAATTCACTGAAATCATTGTGTGCAATGGCTGGATGTGGTCTTGAGCTGATTCAGTCTAAGCAGAGATTTGAACAAACAATTTGCTGAATGCTGCCACTGCTGTGCTGGTTTAGAACAGGGCAAACCCAGAGCAATAAAAGTGTTTCATTAGAAGAGAAAGTATCGTGCTTGGTTCCTTTAGGGAATGAAAGGATAAAGACACTCCTCTTCCAGAACAGATTTAGGGCCATAAAATCCAAATGAATAGAAACCTCCTCCAGCATTTCTGAGGAAGGCACCAAACTCTTCAATTTKATATTACCTGTTGCAATAAGAAGACTTAAAAATATCTTCTACACTCCAGCCATAAAAATGCTTTCAGCTCTCCAGTAACAAATGTGTCAATGTTCAATCAAGTAGAAACTCCAACAAATGAAGATGTAGATGTAATAAAAAACCCTTTCTAATAGGCTTTACTGCATTTTTTCTTCATTTTACCTAGTTTGGGAAGCCTCAGGTGCTTGGCACRTTAATTCTGTGCCATTTTAAACTCAAAGGGTTTTGGATTGCCATTGAGTTCAACACGAACAAGCACCCAGAAAAATWAATTGATTGAGCATTTCTGTGGCCCACAGTGCCTGAGAATGTGGCTGTAAGCATTTCGGGGCCAATGCAGCCAAAATACATGTGATGAGCATCACTGAGTCATGRTGTGAACCAGCACATGCACTGGGTAGTATTGTAGAGCGATGTGTGGCATCTGAAGCCTCCTTGAGTTCCTTGGTTCTACTTTAGGGATAAATTCACTCCTGAGGGAAAGAGAAGTCCTGCTGCTTGTGTTGCCTTTTTCAACCTAGGAATGAAGCTCAGGATGATTTTAGGATAGGAAGTGATGTAAAATCAGGTCTTTATTGGAGCTCCAGGGGCAGCCATGGAAGAACATCCACAAAATCCCAACCCTACAGGGTTGAATAAAGTTTGATAGGTTTTAGGAAATTAGCATAATTGATAAAAAAACACCAATTAGGAGGACAAGTGGTGCTGCAATTCACCCCAGGTCAAGCCCCTTCGCTGGAGCCCCCACCCTCGGTCCCAGCTGTCCTTGGTTATGAAAATGTGTCTCACAGACACAAACTCGGCACCGGTGGCTTCGCAAATGTTCCTCACTCCTCCTCTTCCCAGGTGTCCAAATTTATCAGACTGGTTTCTAGGCACAATGTGGGTCACTTGGTTCGTGGACAATCAATCCTAAGACTGACCTCTTCCAAAGGTGGATTTTTTGTAGGATTTTCCAGTAAGAAACAAAACACTGGAGGAACTTTGGATTTTCTTGGGGGATAGAAATAGCAGAGGAGTGTGATGGCCACACAGACACAATCTATTGCTCATGGTACCATGAACAGACAAACCCACTTTCTCCATCTCTGTCATAAAGTATTTGTGTGGCTTTTTCATTGTAATTTGCGTAACTGAATCATCCTATTGGCTTAAATGGATTAAAAMCCGTCATCTGCTCCATCTGTGTTTGTCAGACGGGGCTTTAAACCCTTGGATGTTGAGATGATCAGGCTCAGAGGTCTCTGTGGAACCACCCACTTGGACTCCTTCAATAACTGTTCATTTTGATTCCTTCAGATTACATTCAGTCTCAGTAATTGTTCATTTCTGATGGAAAATTCTCTGCACATCCCTCTGTTACATCCAAAAATTATTCATAGCGTAAGAAAAATTGCACCATGTTTCAGCNTTTTTTTTTTTTTTTTTTTTTTTTTTTTTTTTTTTTTTTTTTCTCTGCCAGACTCAAGAGGCCTCCTTAGAAGTTTTAGTTTTTCACGTTGATTTCCATAGGTTTGGTGCCTTTTCCTCTTGGCATTCCCACAATTTTTCTTCCCCTTTCCTTCTCTCCCTGGGGAACTCCCTGTGAAATGCTACAGTCAAAACAACAAACGTGGTAGAGGGATTGAACTGAACCCTTCAATTGTTGTTTCATTTATTTTTTCGTGGGTTTATGGATAGGTTTTGATACAGTTTCATTACTGTCATATCTGGATGGCATAAAAATGAYGAACCACTTACATTTCCAGCCTCGCTCAAGACAAAGCCAACAGTTTGCTGTAAACAGAGATCAGGTTCTACAGATTAAATTCAAGCTGACTTTTTTTCTGAGCTCTGCAAATTTGCCCTTGCTGAAGATTCAGCCAAGGGAGATCACATCATTTATCTTTTCCCTTTTGTGTTATTCCGTAAGACAAAAAATTCCAACTAAAGAATTATTTGTTGCAAGGGAAAGTGGGAGTTACATACACATCTCATATTTTCAGAGTGAAAAATTGTTTTTTTTTCCCCACAATAATTCCCTCAGRACAAACTGATAACAGCTACAGGCCCCTAAATTAGCTTTATTYATGGAAATTGAAGAGAGAGAGATCCATTTTTATTTCTTTCACAGCCTCATCTGAGGCTACTCAGATCCGTGTGGGAGCACCACRATGTGCAGGCTGATGGAGAGATGGAAGAGTAGAAGCCTTTTTATGCACTGACTTAAAGCAAAACAAATATTAGCAAATTTATTAGCAATATTAGCAAACCCGAAGCCCCTGGGAAAGGCAGCTGTTCCCTCCTAAACAGAGGAGYTGTGAAATGTGCCCAGAAGCACCACAGATGAGTATCTGCTCACCTGGGCTCACTGGCTTGGGGAGAAGAGCCCTGAGAGCTGGAACCATATTTAATTCTCATCCCAAGGAGCAGCCCAAATGATGCCTGATGATTTTTGCCTTTCCTTTTTATATATTTTATATACCCTTCTAAACATTTTCTATACTCTTGTACCCTTTKCCTACACATTTATAATTCTTACAGCCTAATAATCTACCTTAATTTAAAAGTTCTACTAAAGAAAGAAAYCAAATGTTCTCAATAAGAAATAAAGTACCCTGGAGTATCTTAAACCTGAAGGTTGAAGCYTTCTCTCTAAAAYWGGGCTCCAGCCTCATCCCAGGGGGAGAKTCCTTAAAATAAGGA